CCTAATTATGTTCCTCTTTYCCACTATTTTTGGTGTTATTAAGGCTTTCTCTTAGAATTAGGCTAGAAAGGTAAAGCATGTTTTTTCAGAAATTTGGCATATCCTATGCTGCTTGCCAGGGAATGAGTGGTTGAMTCCAGGCATAGTTGCATGATGGTGACAGCAGTGACAGGATTACCACATGGAATATCTTCTAACTCCTTTCTTGAGTTAGATTTCCTGCCACAAGATGGGCTRATCTGGGTCGTTTGTAGGTCATCAAAAAACAGCTGTGGTCACTACCACTTCTCGTTGCACCATGTTTCATTAACTTTTACTGGCAGTTCTGAAGAGCCACAAATATTTTGAATTTCAGAAATATATGAAAAACTGGGATTATGTGCAGCTTTAAAGACTCCTGGCCACATTTTCAGAGAAAATTTTTCATTAAAGAATTATTATTCTTTAATAATGTTGAAAATTGTGCAAGAGCAAACACATACTTGTAAGTCTGATTACCTATTTTGTGAGCTGATTACCTTTTCCATGTGATTGCCTGTTTTTGGCTAATTTGGCAAACCTTGTGTTGACAAATTCCAACTGACTTCACTGATAATTTCATCTTCACGAGGGCTGCAATTTAGCTCCTTTGAACATGAAAGCACCTCTTTGTGAATCCCTGCACTTTCACATACGTGCAGCAAATAAATACTTGGCTAAACTTTATGGGACATGTATGTAAATGTTCCTTTCAGAAATTGGCTGAGAACATGACTGGTCAGTGCTGCTGCCTAAGCACGTGAAAACAGTTTTTTTTTTTACAAAAACAATCCAGCCTTTCCTAATTATGTTTATAGGTTCATCCCAGACAAGTGGACCAGCTATAGAGAATATACACGGAAATGTCAAAGAATTTGCATCCTTTTGGTCTTCATGTGACTGCTTTGATAGCTTCTGCTTTGGCAGATTCACTGCCCACCTAAGTTTGTCTTCTCTTTTCCAGCAATATCCACTGAAACTGGCATTTTGCCTCTGTGACATCTGTATGCTCTGGTACTGTGGTTCATTTCTGGGTAGACCATTTCTGTTCACCAGTAGTAAGATATCGACTGGAAAAAAAAAAAAAAGGATTCACTGGTGTATTTCTCACTTTCTTTTAACCTTCTATTGTAAAAGTGCTGCTGGCTCCCCAACTGTTTGTTGGGATTATCTGTAGGTGTGAAAACTTTCCTGCCTGTGGGATGTGGAGTGGAGTGATGTGGAGCCAGCCTGATCTCCCTGCTGCATGAGCAGTGGTGGTGGCTTTTGGGCCCTCCTTCCTGAGAAGCGGGCATCTGTCTGGAGAAGGGCAACCCCTCAAATGTTCACCTTCTGGATTGTTAATTTTTAGTTCGGTCTGCATGCCGAACAGATTTGCTCACATTTTGGTTAAATGGGCTCTTTGGTTACACAGTTAATTGTCACTTTCTGATGTGGATGTTGCAGTGAACTTGCTTTCCTCGCATTTGGCCCATGAGAACATGTGCACAGCCAGTTATGAAGTGCAGCTGAGGCGTGGTTTTCAAGAGATGTCCCAGTCACRGCTCTCAGGAGCTGCTTTGGGCTGAATCCCTCTGTGTGCTGTGTCAGGGAGCAGTACCTGCCTGCCCAGCAGGGAGAGCAGGGCACTCACAGCTCCTCCTTCTCCTCAGACTGGCACAAAGATCATGTATATCTCTATCTCAAATATATATGTTTCATACATGGAAATGAATGTTGCTTTTCACATTTCCAGCCCCTGACTTTTGCTGGGAACAGACACTTTTAAAGCTCAGTAAGATCAAATGCAAGGCTCTGAAGTCTTACATCTAATATGTGCACCTATATCATACATTATTCTATTGTTTCCTGCACTTGAATCAGGAAAGGTTGGGATGGGCAGGAAGATATTCAGGATGCTGACCTGCCTGTAATGGAAGTGGATGGTAAAAAAAGCAGTGAAATCCCACGTGCATCGAGTGCACATCACATAGACCACATAACTCAGGGAACCACAATGGCTGGGAGATAAGTAACTGTTCTCTTTCCTTCCTGGTGTGTTATCCTCAGAACTGAGAAGCCCCAAAACCATAGCTCAAATCCTGAGTAAATCATAAATTAAACTGTGAAGGCCAATCCTAGTTCTGCAGATCTGTAAAACTAATTTTTGCTACATTTTTGCACAATTTAACAGAGCTGAGAGTTTCTGCTTGTGGAGAGGCTCTCAATAACAGAAGGGGGACATCAGAGATGTAGAATACATGATTATTGGTAGAGCTGAGGATTTTTCATTCCTCACATATCTGATGTTAGTATTGTCTGTATTTGCCAGTTTGTTTCCTATTTTTTTCTTGTTGGTCTGTTCTATTTCTGTGTCACTTTTTTCTTCTCCAGTTTCCATATATCGCTTTTAAGAGACTCAGTTTAAGAAAACTTTGGAGGCAGAGTCAGCGAGACTTAAACGCATTTTAAAGTTAAGCACATTTTAAACTTAAGTGCCTTGTCAAAGAGACACAATGTGCCAAAATGGGGCCCTGGTAAGAAGCTGGGTTAGCATTTGATGGGGAGAGTCGGCAGCCTTGAACATATCTTTTCATTGTTTGAAATAAAAGAACTCAGATGTAAAGCTGCTCATTCAGGTAGCGATGGCCTCCAGCGCTTCGGTGGGCTTTGTAGGCAGAGGAATTCAAAAGAAAACCCCTCAGCCCAGCTTTAAAGTCTTAGGAATGCTTTCTCTGTGGGAAGAAAAATTCTTCAAGGTAAGGCCCCTGTTGGAGCAAAGCCTTTGGAGCTATCTACTGTATGTCTACTTAAATCCAAAAGAGAACTCTTCAGACCACCCACATCTTCCTTTGCTTCATTGTTGTTTTCAGTTTGCTTTTTCAGAGGGATTAGTGCTAGAGTAAACTCCATCGTCTTGCTCCCTTGAAAAAATTCAATTTTGTGTAAAGTGAAAATTAGACTCTTAAATCTGCAAAGAGAGCTGTTCATCTTACAAATTTATTCTTTTTTATTGGGCCACACATATTCTAGATAGAAAGATAAAAGGCAAATGGATAACAGGCTATCATTTAGAGTGACACATAGCAAAACATAACTAGTAGGCTTATTTGGTGAATTCCTCCTGAGTGGCTTGTTAACTTTATCTATATATTTATCTATAATGCTCATATAGTATTTGTTAAAAACCAAAACAAAATCCTGCAGTTTATCATCATGTATTCAGTGTTTTGCACTTCAGAAAAATCTTTTTGCACTCAGGAATTCATTTTTTTTCCCAAAGCAGCTTAAGCCATAATTATATACAACTTTTGAGGAGCCAAAAGGAGAAAATCTAAACTCTTTAGGGATATTGGAATTATAGACTAGCACCTATGTATGTTTTCCTGGACTCACAAAGACAAAATAGACTCCTGTAGYATGCTACTTTACATACTCGAAGATAATTCAAAATGACATTTACTAGCTTTCTAACTTAAATATTATGCTTTAACTCTGCAGCCTAAGAGCAGCCAGAAAATGTTAAACAAGAATGTGATGTGAAAAGTATCAGATTTTCCTTTTGAGAGCTAGTAACATCTTGATTACATACATGACTAAGATAAGCATTTATATATATGTATATATATATATATTTTTAATCATTCTATCCCCTTTTTCAGCTTTAAGCAAAATAGTTTAGAGGAACCATTTTATAATGGTACACATAATACATCCTGAAAGGCCTGTTAGTGTTCCCTTTTGCAGAAATGTGGTATTTGGGTCTCTGCTACTGTGAGAATAGATTTTATTAGAGCCAAATGTTTAAGTCTTTCCTATGTCCCATTACTTCCATTTAAAAGGCAATGCTGTGTAAACTGCACTATGTTTCCTGACAGCTTTAGTTACACATCAAACGGGTAAAGACAGAACATTTTTAGTCAGTGGTTTATGGTTGAAATAACCAGGGCTCTGCAAGCAGGTTTTAACTCTGTGCTCCCCACCTGGATGTAACCCAGATAGCTCCGTTCTGCAGGGATGTGATGCTGTGCCCATGTGTGCTGCACCTGACATGCCAGCAGTGTCAATCCAGGTCACAGTTCCAACATTTGCCATGGTTTTTGGTGAAATTGTGAATTGGTGCTTGTATGTGATATTACATGASCCTCTAAGTACGAGATGATGGATGAGTCTTGTGTGGTTTGAATAATGAYTTTTTAAAAAATGCCCTACAATTTTTTCAATTTTTCTGTCAGTCTTTTGTGAGTTATTTCCTTTCTTGCCTGCTTGGATAAAAGCAGCTCCTTCAAGATGGCTGAAATCAGGGTTTATATCAGGAGAGAGAAGATGTGTCCTGGAGTCTCACTCATGTTTTGATGCAAAGGATACGTGTAGCTGTGAACACTGAAGGAGAAAATGCAGGAGCTGTGGGTGAAAGGGAGATGGAATTCCCCTCATCTGACAATTTTTTTCATTGTTTTTCACATGATATTAGGTCACTCTCTGGATTGCCTGTTGTGATTCAAATACTGAAATGTTGCAGAAGAAGTTGTTTAGCTTTGTGTGTAGATGTCACTGCTGTTGGACCCCCCTGTCKCTGCAATTCTGTTGTTTTAGGAGGTTTCAATTCACTGGTGGAAACTTTTTCTCTCTAAAAGCGCACAGGTTTTCACAATACTTATAAATTAAATAGATTCAACAAAACAACARTCTCAAACTTTTGGGGAAAAAATTAATAGGAAAGCAAAAGAAGAAATCAAACCAGCTGCTGACACAGCTGTTTCTTTTCTTGTATAATTCAGTATATAAAGGTACCATATGCTGCTTAAAATGATGATAGGAAAGATGAAATAATTTAAGACAATAACAAGAAAATACATGGATTGTCAGCATTCTGTCAGATTTAAAGAATGAAATAGACAGGTGTAGTATTGACATGCTTAACTTTGTGTTGTGTTAGCAGTTTTACTGAGAACAACTCCTGACATGTGCTGAAGTGATGTGAGAACATTTCTGTGTTGCAGACATTGGAGAAGAAGCTGGGAGATCTGTAGGAGTCCAGCAGCCAGCTTTACTGAGAGACAGGAGCCTTGGTTCTGCCATGAAAGACTGCCCATATTGTGGAAAAACTTTCAGAACATCCCAYCACTTAAAGGTCCACCTGAGAATACACACAGGTGAGAGGAGCACGYGAGCGGAGCGGCGTCGGCACGAGCCGTGCGTGCGTGGGGGTTCACAGAACGTGTGCCTGGGAGCTTTAATTCCCTCTGTAGCTTTGGACTTATTAGTTGGAGAAAGTCTTTTGAGAAAGATGTATGACAGTCTTAAATAAAAGCACAAGGAATGTGTTGTTGGATAAAGACCACTTTAATAGAATCATCTTTTCCCAGTTGAGGTTATTTCTGTCTCCTTGCCTGCTTCATCACTGTTTCCTTCAATTACCCTTGTCCTTCAATAGGCATAAGCCTATTGGTTTCAGACTTAGTTATACTAACTGCTTCAAAGGCCTTCCCTAGCATCTGCTTAGGGATTCTGTATGTTTTTCTCAGTTACTATTTTTGTTCCATTTAGCATGCTCATTTTTAACCTCTCGCTGTTCATATGAATGCATCAGCTTCGTGGATCTGCTTTTTTTTCTCCCCACTAGAACTCACACGGCTTAGTACTTGTAAGTAATAAAACTTATCATGCTTTGCACCATGGTAAAAAGTCTCATATTTTATTTCAGTAACAATCACAGCATTTTAGCCTACAGAGATTTGCTGCTAGGCTGGGTACTCACTTTGTTTTGGCACGTCTCTCATCGGGAGGACTGCTTTTAATGCTAGTTATCTCTACCCACTCCATTTAAATTATAATATTTTGTTTGCTTTAAAAGTACATGTATTCATGGCAAGGTTCATGTTGAGATACAGAATGTGTTTAAGACTTACTCTATCCATAATTAAAATCTGACATTAAATGTTGAAATCCTCAGGTTCTGTTGACATCATTTGAAATTCTGTGTATGGTCAATATGATCTTGTTTTAATCCCAGTGTTAATTGTCATGGTGGGMTTTGGGAGAGTATTCCAAACTGGAGATTTTGGATACTTCTTTTTGGAAACAGATATAATGGGTCCCATAATTGTGGAGTCATTTCCTTTTTAAACCATTTAAATTGCATTTCAGAATTTTTACTGCCACTTTCCTAATAGAAAGGTAAAATAATTGCAGTAAGAAATATGTTCCAGTTATACCTCCTACTTGAAAAATTTTTAATTTTTATTTCACTGAAGTACCAGATAAGCAATGTTTTTCTCTCTTTCCAAAATCAGCAATCACATTTCTCCTRTGTGCTTGCACAGATATAATACTTGATGTTGGGTTTGTGAATGTGAGGCCTGGTTTTGAAAAACTGAAAATTAAAATTATTTAAGGGAAAAAATATCATTGTTGAAATGGGAGAATTTGTTCACTGTCTTTTTGTTTTCCTTTCTTTGCATTATGGAGTAGGAGTATACCACACTGAATTTTAAAATTTGGTACCCTAATGTATTTTTGTCTGATTGGATTACAAACCATTTAGGGCAAGAATATTCTTTTCTGTGTGTTGAACTTTGTAGAGAAAAAAAAAAGAAGAAACACAGTGAAAACCCTATTTGTGTGCTCCCTAACGTAGTAAAAGTAAATAAATGGTAGTTATTTTATTGGAAAATAATATTGTAACTGTGGAGTTTAAAGAGTTGGCATTTTTAGTATTTGAGAGGCAAAGAAATTTTTTTAAAAATAACMTGAGGTTAGCCATCTCTTCATTTTGTAGTGATCACTTTGTTCTTATCTTAAACATGGCAATGATTACACATTTGGTATTTGTGCCTTAGAACTAATGGAAAATAAATTAATTACAATGGAAATATTCCATAAAAATTGCATATTAATACTGACTAAAGAAAATAAAAACAAGAAAAAAATAAACTGTTTAATATAACAAAATTTAAAGAAAAAAGAAACTATTGAAACAACATTTACAATATATTTTAAAATCATTATAATTTTAAAATAGGTAAAGTTCAATTTCCATTAGGTTGAGAACAAAGTATTTGTAAATAATGACAAGAGTATTTTTTAAGTGAAGCAATGTTTTACATATTGGGAATAGTCCTAATAAATAATATTAAAATGTAAATTGGCAAATTACTAGAGTTATTAAATAAAAATTAAGTTGCTTTGCAGTAAGTGGAAATGATGTAATAGATACCAGTTATTAAACAAATATTAGTTAGCTCATACTTATCAGGGACAGTTTCCTGCCTTTTATGTCACACTCTGTCTTTATTATATGCCTGGATCATATAACTGACTGATAAAAAACACTTTAGTGTATTTCTCCACTACATTAACYCAATTACTGTTCTTGTTCTCACAGCACCTGTTTGTTAGAGATGAGCTCAAGCAGTTCAGCACAAGTCGGGTTCCTTGGAACATCTGTGTGTTTGGAGGCACACGACTGGGCTGGTTTGGTGCTCCTGCCAAGAGCAGACCCAAAATCTGATCCAGCCAGGAGGTGCTTCTGTGGCAATTGGCCCAAAAAAGCTGGAGGAGCAGCTTAATCTTGCACGAGAGGAGGAAACTGCTCTGTTTTTAAGATTTAGCCAGTGGCTTGGGTTGCTTCTTCTTTTTCTGTTGGGTGTTCCCTGGTTACAACCTACTCCACACTGAGTGCCAGTTGCTGTGTAGTTTGTGGTCATATAACGAGCCCATGAGGGGAAAAAAAAACAAATCAAAGTTTTATTTAGCACACTCAGTTATGTCCCAACACAAAACTGTGGAGGATTTTTATCTAACTCAGTGATATTCAGGCAGGAAGGGCTTTAAGGGGAAGATAGTCAGATATGATTTCTGAATGTTCCCATTTGATAAGAGGAAAAGGGCATAATTACATGAAATCAGCTTCTCTTTCTTGCTCTAAAAGCAGTTGATGGGTGAGACAGTTCCCTGGGACAGCCCTGAATGAAGAGAGGAAGGATTTCCAGGCCAAAATGCTCATGAGCCTTGGGCCTGAGAGAGGACACACAGAACCCTTCCAGATGAGCTCTCTGTGCTGACCAGGGAGCAGACAGCCCCCTTGCTATCAAATAATAACACAGAAAGATTGGGGATGCTCTGCCATTGTGATAAAGAAAACCATCTGGGTATCTCAGACCTAAAATGTGACATRTGCAGGTAACCCCAGAGTTGTCATTTTGCCCCTCCAGAGGCAGCAACCTAAGGTCCCTTCATTCAGGGAGATGAGCATCTCCTTTATGCCCTTGAGCACTTTCAATCCCCTCAAAACACAGTARGTGGGTGTGGGTTTTGCATTGCATGCCTTGACCTTTGGAGTACACAGGAAGAGTTAAATTTCTTACGTTCTACCTTTGACAGGTGGCACATTATGGAGGAGCTGGTTTCAGATTGGCTCTAGCACYTCTTTGCACCTTGCATTAGTATCAGAAGCCACTGCAGGTGTAGACCATTTTGGGTTTGTGCTGTCATTMGATACTCAGGTATATTCCCAGTATRA